TATGTTATGTATGTTATGTATGTTATGTATGTTATGTATGTTATGTATGTTATGTATGTTATGTGTGTTATGTATGTTATGTATGTTATGTATGTATGTTATGTATGTTATGTATGTTATGTATGTTATATATGTTATGTATGTTATGGATTTTATGTATGTTATGTATGTATGTAATGTAATGTAATGTAATGTTATGTAATGTTATGGTATGTTATGGTATGTATGTATGTATGTATGTTATGTAATGTAATGTAATGTAATGTTATGTAATGTTATGTAATGTTATGTAATGTTATGTAATGTGATGTAATGTTATGTAATGTTATGTAATGTTATGTAATGTTATGTAATGTTATGTAATGTTATGTAATGTTATGTATGTTATGTAATGTTATGTAATGTTATGTATGTATGTAATGTTATGTAATGTTATGTATGTATGTATGTATGTATGTATGTATGTATGTATGTATGTATGTATGTATGTATGTATGTATGTAATTTTTATGTAATGTTATGTAATGTTATGTAATGTTATGTAATGTTATGTAATGTTATGTAATGTTATGTAATGTTATGTAATGTTATGTATGTATGTATGTATGAATGTAATGTAATGTATGTATGTATGGTATGTTATGTTATGTTATGTTATGTTATGTTATGTTATGTTTGGTATGTATGTATGTATGTATGTATATATATATGTAGATACGGTTATAGAAAATTATATACACCGGTGACCTGAGCTGCTCAGGTGAAGTCCAAGAGCAGTTTCGGGGATGTGAAACCCGTGTCCCCAGAGGTCCGTGATGGGCTCCGGAGAAAAGCCATGGATTTTTTCTCGACCGAAAAACACCGGAAGAAGACATGGATTGTTTGGTTCACCTTCGGTATTAAAAAAGAATTAAAAATGCCCCGAGATGGAGCTGCCGAGATGTGAACAGCGTGAAGCGTTATCTGATGTGTTCCGAGAAGTGGACTGGCTCAAATCAAGCTGTGCCTGCCTGAAACCTTTGCAATTCTCGACCAAGATGGAGGCCAATTGATTGGATGCTTTGTGAATTTGGCGTGATAGCTTTAGAGAAGGTATTGATGCCACATGGCGGGGGAGCAGGACCCCAAAATTTCTTCGGAATGGATCGATGGAGGATTCAGATGCCGGTACCCCATTGAAAGGCTGATTCCATCAGTGGATTGCTTGGATGCAACGTGCCATCCAGGATGACATGGGTTCTCATTAAATAGGTTACCCCCACCCCGCGCCACATTTTGCATCAGGGAATGGACGGCAACAACCTCTTGGGCTTCACCGAGGCGGCACCAGCGGCCGCGCCAGCAGAGGTGCGAAATCTTCGACATCTATCATTTTTGGAAAGCTAGACATAAAGTGATATACCAATTTTCTATAGTGTTTCCATGTTGTAGCAGTTGAATTCCAGATGACTTGTTTTCTTGAACCATAAACCATCATCAACCATCATAAACCATCATCAACCATCATCAACCATCATCAACCATCATAAACCATCATCAACCATCATCATCCATCATCAACCATCATCAACCATCATCAACCATACACCATCATCAACCATCATCAACCATCATAAACCATCATCAACCATCATCATCCATCATCAACCATCATCAACCATAAACCATCATAAACCATCATAAACCATCATCAACCATAAACCATCATCAACCATAAACCATCATAAATAAACCATCATAAACCATCATAAACCATCATAAACCATCATCAACCATAAACCATCATCAACCATAATCAACCATCATAAACCATCATAAACCATCATCAACCATAAACCATCATCAACCATCATCAACCATCATCAACCATAATCAACCATCATAAACCATCATAAACCATCATCAACCATAAACCATCATAAACCATCATAAACCATCATCAACCATAAACCATCATAAATAAACCATCATAAACCATCATCAACCATCATCAACCATCATCAACCATCATCAACCATCATAAACCATCATCAACCATAATCAACCATCATAAACCATCATAAACCATCATCAACCATAAACCATCATAAACCATCATAAACCATCATAAACCATCATCAACCATCATAAACCATCATCAACCATCATCAACCATCATCAACCATAACCCATTGCGGTTTACTTTTGGCATCTATTGGGTCACATCATCTTCCATGGTTTTCGTCTGTCTCTCACAGATGCCGGCGGATCCCATGCCCTTCATGGCTGAATCGCAGGTGGTCGGGTGTCGTGGACTGCTGAGATGTTTTTCCCCACCGAACTCTAAAAAACACGACATACACATGTACAATGTATGTATATATATATATCTATATGTTGTTATTATTATTGTTTTCTATAGTATACAGTATATATAGAGTATACATATATATATATATTTATGTGAATATCCAGATCATACAATGATCAACACATCTTGGACACTCGCTGGGAACCGCTCAGATCGGCCATTTCGCTGGGGAGGCCATGGATGCACCTCCCGTGGCGTATCAAGATCCCTTCCAAGGTGTGCCTGTGAAGGCGGGCATAGCTGGGATGAACATCACAAGCAGTGAAAAAATATGTAGAATTTATTGTGTATCAATATATAATATTGACACATCATATATATATATAACTTGATAGTTATATACATATACAATTCAATTGTGTATCTATACATATATTATCGGGATGGGTCAGCAGCGATGGGACCATGGAGTTTTTCTGTGTAATCACTTCAAGGGAACCCTTGAAGCTGCCATTGGAACAGGATCCCGTGAGTGCTCCGCTGATTCCAGAGATGAATGCACTTCGCGAATGGGAGGACTGATCCACTGCCAAAGAATAGGCCGCAGTCCAAATGTCAAGAGTCTTGCACAAGTGTTGAAACATTTGAGCAGCTATGACCCCTTGCTGTGATGACCTTTGCGACACATTCAATCAACTTGGATCGAGGTAACATTTGTGAATTCCAAGCCAAGAACATGGCACCGGCAGTGGTATCGAGGGTCATAGTTTTTTCCAAGCTTTCCACTCTGAATCTGAAGGAAAATCACGAGAAGGAGCTTGAGGAAATGGCCCGCAAGGAGGTGCCATGTCGATTTCGTTTTGGTCGTTGGCAGTGTCCGAGCAGCGTTGTGTCAGAGGCACACGAGAAAGAGCAGCGTCGTGGGAATGCCACGTCTGAGCTGTCGAAGTGGAATGAGGACAGCACAGTCGGGGTGGGGCAGTTTCCAACATCTGTTCTGGATATTTGTGGATTGAATGCACTGATCAGATTGCTTTCTTGAGGTTCCCTGGAGTACGATGGTCTCCATCAAAGAAAGTATACACTATACTATACTATCTATACTCCACACATGTATACACCTCATAAACCTAAAACTAACCATCAACTATAAACAGACAGAAACTTAACAGTGACCAGTCGACCAACATGAGTTCCCCAGTCTCCAGATGCTTCACCGCAGGAACGCTTGGATTCGCGCAAAAAGCGCATGGTCCGAGCCTTGAATTTGCGGAACTCTGAAAAACCGGTGTACTTGGAATGGGTCTGGAAATTGTGGGTGATTTCTTCCATTTTCTTCCCATAATATGGTCATGTTTTTTTTACCCAGTTAAATGGGGAACATGAACTTTTTTGATGATACTTTCAGGACCTGAGCAGCGAAGCTGTTTTCAGAAGGGTACTGAAAAAAGAACATGCCTTGCTGCCCTAGAGATTCACATTCTCCATCAACCAGAAGTGAACAACATATAGACGATGATAGAACAAGCAATATCTTAGTGCAACACATTCGCTAAAGTTTCATAGAGTTTCTAGATGTTCCTGGATGTTTGGATCTTTAAAGCTAGTGGTGTCTTTTTCGAAAGCCGCTCTTGTCACGAAGACCACCAGCTTCTGTGCCCTTCTGAGGCCACAAACCGCACTGATGAGGAGACTTCAGAGAAGGCCAGAGTGGAGGTGCGCTTATATTTTTTTGTTTTTTGGACACCCCCAAAATGCGAAAGATCCTGGAACATTCATGAAGAATTCTATGGTTGGTTTTCTTTGTTTCCATCTTCATTTTCTTAGCTTACATCCTGAGGCCATGAAGCCAGGTGCCAATCCATGGGAACGCTGCTTGACATCAGCTGGGCGCAACGTCGCAACGTGTTGGGGATGGGTTAAAACCGAATGGACCAAGGCGTTGATGGTGGGTGTTATTTACGTTTAAAGAAGAGCCTGCCATTTTGATGTGAAGGGAGCGCAAGAGTTTATAGAATCTTAGAATGGGCTGTTTCAGGCTGTTTTTCAGCAATTTTCTTAAGATTCTAATGGAATCTTATGGATGTTTAACTCCGACTGTGGTGCCCCCAAAACTCCGACCGCTTGTTGGTCCTTTTCGCAGGGATGCCATTCTGGTTGGGGCCTACACTTCTGAAGGCCATACACCCATGGCTCAACCCGGTTCTTGTACCCTTTGCACCCTCAGCATTTCATGGATCATTGATAAAGATGAACACACATATATATATAATTATATATTATATATATAACTCCCATGTTTGAAGCACACCCACCCATTCAGTGACCGATGCACCCAGGTGTTTGCGACTTGATTGATACCAATGCCAAGGCAGCTGAGGACACCAAGCGGTGGAATGGTGAAGAGCAAGGGCATGAAATAGAGATGTCGACAGGTGATCCAACTGAGAGATAATGATGATAATTATGATAATGTCGTTAATTGAAATACAGAAAATGATGATAATGCTTGACTTACATTGGCGCAACTCCAATCTCAACATGGCGATTCTGCTCAGTTTTCCAGCAATGTGACCTTTTTTCGCTGCGAGGATAGTCGAGACACATCGCGCCTGAGGCCATGCGCTTCGCAACGTGCTTCAAGCCCCTTCTCATTCCATGAAGTTGGAGATTCTAGCACCCATAGTATCCCATAGTTAGGTTGATTGAGATGCCATCCTCCCATCCGAAATACCCCGCGTAATTTGAGCAGGTCCTTGCTGATTCATCTGAAGAGCAGCCCCGTGTCTCGGCGCTGGGAAGCGTTTCCGATTGTTTCTGAATGTCATTTTGTTTTCCCATGGATTTGGTTACGATGTGCGTCAACCTTCGTGTTGACATGTTTGGTGTCCCAGTTTGTTAGCTGAGTTGGTTCAAAATCAGGTTGACTTAAATGGGTTTAGTATGGTTTAGTTAGATTAGTAATCAACCAACGTAAAATATCTTAAGTTAGATGAGTAATCAACCAGCTTATGATTAGTTGCATAGACATTCGACATCATTCGACCTTGCCCGCACTGCCCAGTAGCATCCACTGGGGTCAGCAGCAAGCTGCGGCGTAGCCAGGTCATGCCTGTCGCAGCTTGATGCAAACCCAACTGAGACTGCAGAGGGCGACCTATCCCAAGCCGACAATCGCTGTTGGAAGCATAAGAAAATTTCTTATATTTCATTGTCAATATTGTCAACTTCAGATATGTAATTATTTCACTTTGTTGTTGCAGATATCAAGCAGCGGAAGCGACGAAAATTCGGCTTTTGAGTGCAGAGCACATGGAACCCTGCTGTGGAGCAGAAAAAGTCTCAGTAGTGCCGTAGTGCCACACTTGGGCTGGAAAGATCAGAGATAATATCATCCCATTATTGATGATGATCTATATGTTACTAACCACTATTATTGGGATTATAACCACTGTATTATCAGAGAAAGTTCTGGTTTCTCAGCTTTTTAAAGCTGTGGTTCTCCTAACAGCCCGGGCCTCACAGGATGGACCTGGAAAGCAGCTGGACTTTGAGCGGAAGGATGTTAGAGACCCAGCCATGATGGAAGGGAACAGTGCAACTCCAATGTGCCATAGTCAAAACATTCGTCGTTTTTCCATACGCATCATGCGTATTCCGTATTCCCATTTTGGGATGGACGACCATAACCCACATATAATGTTTCGACCATGACACACATGGACCAAAGAGTTCGGAATAAGCATCAGCATCATCAGCTTGCAATGATTTTGTAGATCAAAAGGTTGGAAGTGACAGCCTTGATTTATAGCACCCCCCAAAAGATCGGGAAAAAAACAAAATTGTATATATATATATAGTATAGTTACTGCCTTGGCAATTCGGACATTTTTTATTTTTTGCTGTTTTCTTCACACCTGTGAGCCACTGTCCAGTCAAAAGGGTTGAGTTAGTAGTAGTTCATTCCATTCCAGCATCCCTGCCTGGCCACGCTGCCCAAGCGGCTCTGCATTCCTCATCTTCCTGATTATCCTGACCCTTCGCCGCACCCTCAGAACCTTTCAACGCGCAAAAAAACTAAAATGTGACATTGAAGGGTCATATCGCCGCGTTGAAGGGTCAAATTATGCATTATTATAAATACCCAATCCCATTTCCATTCATAAGCCTCTAGTCTAAGTATAACATTTACATCCTGCTCAGGCCTGACCTTGCTGCTCCTGCTGCCCCTGCCTTTCCCACAACAGCACTTGGAGAAGGCTTGGACTTTCAGTGCTGGGGTCGGCAGTGTTTGTGGATAATGTTTTTTATTAATTAATGAAGTGCATTCTAGTTTCAGCAGCCCTGCATTGATTGCTTCATTCTTCCATCCCCAGCACCACTGTTTGCCCAAGCCGCCCCTGTGCGTTCACTTCACCTTCTTGTGCCGGTGATGGCAGCTCCTGCTGCTGCCCTGGCAGAGGCATTGGCCGCCATGGAGGCTGCAGACGCTGCTGGTCTTGCAGCTGCACCTGCTGCCTAAGCAGCTCATCCTGCCGGAGCTCCTGCTGCCGAAGCAGCCCACCCTGCTGAAGCAGCCCCTGCTGCGGCAGAAGCTGCCGCCGAAGCACCTGCTGAGGCTGGTCCTCCTGATGGCGCGCCATTGATTGAGGACTACAATGAGGCGGAGCATGGAGATGATGGGCCAGGGCCAGATGAGCTGGTTGTGCAAGGGAGATTGGTGCTCCAATCTGAAACTGGCCTTGTCCCTGCTGCCCAAGCTGCCCAAACTGCTGCTGCCCAGCGCCAGCGAATGGATATCGCAGAGAGCGTGAAGCAAGCTGTTGGCGGCACCTTTGGCTTGCGAATGGAAGGTCTGCTGGGCCAGGAAGAAATTAAGCACCATGCTGTGGCTCGCACCCATGCCCCTGACATTTTCATACATTTTCACTGAGGTCTACGACACGTCCAAAGATTTCTCATGGGCAATGTTCGGATTTAACGCCATGGTGTTGAGTTTCTTCCCTGCTGCTGACAAGACGAATATGTCCATATGCGTCGGCACTTTGATGTGAATTAGTAAAGCTTTCCATGTCTATATGAACCAATAAGGTCAATTCCATATTTGTTGGACTTTTTCCCAGAATGCTCATCGTGGATCCATTTTGTGCTTGCTTTTGCGCATGCTTGAGGTTTGACCCTGCAGCCCAGCGAAGCCAACATTGTGGAGGAAGCCCGCGATTTGCTGCAGCTGATTCCTCCGTACAATAGCATTCCAAAGAAATTCTCTGTGGCTCGGCATCATGTGGTCAAAGAAGATTTTTCTGGACATGGATCCGCGTTTCATGTCATGGGGGCGCCAAGAATATTAGAAATTGTTTGAGTTAATTTTAATCCTCCGGTGTTTCATTGCTTCCCTGCTGAGTTGTCTGCCATTGTGCGTGAGCTCCTCCAGCGGTTCTCAGAGGCCAGTCCCTGCGGTGGTGGAGCGCTTCTGTGCAACATCTTCATCTTACCCTTCTCTATGAACGGTGCTGCCAGGGGATACCAGCTTCTCGAGCCAGATGAGGATGGGGAGCATTGAAAGCAAAGCACTCAAAACATCATTGAACTGATCAATGAATTACATGTTTGTTGCAGATTACTTGGCATTTTGTTACTAAGATATGCTTATTTTCTGCATCAGTAGTTGTTTGGTGGGCTTTCCTTCCCGAGCTAAACATTGGCAACGGGGGCACTTTGATGACCCTTCTGCTCTATGCCAATGACGTTCTCAGCATGGCGAACAAGCTCCTGGACCTTGCCCACCTGCGCACCAGCGGCACCGAGCTACGCAATTTGGACGCTATGGCAGGGAACCTGCGCGTCAAGTCTTTGGAGGAGTGCAACAAGGACACAGTCAATGCTTCCTTCTTTGGCGTTCATTTTGGCCACAAGATTGAAGAGCAAGAGCGCGGAGGTGTGAGGTATGCCCTTAAGTCCAAGCAGTACCTCAACAATGAAGACTATGCCTTGCTCCACAATCTCCAGCCTGGCAATGCGCAATTTTTTGACTTTGGCAAGATGTCAGGGCCAACTACCCAGTCCATTTGGGTGTCTGCTGAAGGATTTTTTTTATATCATCAGCTTCCGGCCAGCTGACGTGCAGCAGAAGAAGTTCGACAGCCCCTGCTGGGTACTACAGGCTGGACATGGGTAGAAATATTTAGTAATAGCAGCTTCAGCCTCAGCAGTAATAAAATGTAATAATTAAACGGAAAAGGGCAAGGACAAGGACAAGACACAAGAGTTATAACATGTTATAACACTAACAATGATAATAAAAACAGGAACAAGAACAACACAAACAAGAACAATATAAAAAACACGATTCGAGATTTTCTCAGAAGGACAGGAGGAAGAAGAAGAACAACATCAACAACAACAACAGGAAGAAGAGCAATAACAATAACAAAAACAGCAACAAGGACCAGATCAAGAACCACCACAACCACAACCATAACCACAACTACAGCAACAGCCACAGCCACAACCAGCAGCAGCAGCAGCAGCAGCAGCACCCCACCGCCACCACCGCCGCCACCACCACAGCAGCACTGGCAGCAACAACAACAACAGCAACAGCCACAGCAATGGCAGCAGCAATGGCAACAGCAATGGCAACAGCAACAGCAATATTGCCTGTTCATTTGGCTTGCTATTTTAGAGTATCAACCTTCATACTTTATATAGTGAACCGGCTAGTTTGTGTATAATAGTTCTATAATGAATTAATTGGGTAATCGTACTAGTTGTCAACGATTGCAGTGGTTTGATTACAAGGGCATGTTAGGGACTGGAATCAGGGGAGATGTTGCAGCATCAGGTTTTTAAATTTCTCTGCAGCAATCTTAATAACAGAATCCCTGCAAGGCTGAGTGATTGAAAGGGGATTTCGACGATCAGCGATGGGTCTACAGACGAGGCACCCGCGGCCCCTGCAGCATCCTCTGGACCGGCCAGACTGAGGACGACTTTGGATTGCTTTGGGATGGCTTGACATTGGTTTCTTCACAGTGGATGTTGAAATTCAATGCGCTCTTCCAGCTTGGTTTGGTGATCGCATCAGGTGGTGAAGCGCTGGTCCTTGTTAATAGGGGAGCCCAAAGCAGCCACTGCAAGCACTGCCAAGAAAAGAACCATTGTGAAGAGGATTGGTTCAATGGCAGACATGCAATGCTTTTTGAAATTCATCATCAGGGTGTTTCGTCAGTCTCGGGGGGGGTCTGGCAAATTCACTAGACCGTGAGTGGGCTGATTGTGCAAGCACAAGCAAACGAAACTTGCGGATTTCAAAAAAAACCTTGACTTCCATCCCTTTGCAATACGCTTGTCGGTCTCAAGACTGACCCCCCGTATTGAGACGTGATTTTCCCATCCAAATACCGAAACTCAAGGAACGCAGTTTGACAAGAGCATTCCACCTATGAATTCATCTTCCCGGTCTCAAGACCAGGAGGCGTATTGAGACGTGCAATTCCCTTGCCAATACACTCCCAATAGCCCTATGCAATACGCCTCCGGGTCGCGAGACCGAGCGAGGTTGTCCTCCAAGGGTCAACCAAGGGTCAGAGCAACAACGAAGGGTCAAATTTTCCGCCCAAGGGTCAAATGTTTAAGTTTAAGTTGCCAGCCATTAAGTGTGTTGATTTTAAGCTTTTGCCAGCCCACCACTGTTCCAATGCGCAGGTGCTCAAGAATGCCGCCGGTGCCGATTTCTGCAAGCAAAGCTGCCAGCCTGTGGCTGCGAAGTGTGGAAGCTGGGCGCGCTCCAAACGAGACGAATAGAACAGCCAGGATTGCTTATGCAGTTCCTTTGTTTTAAACAGAGCTATACCACTCACAGCTACATGTGGTGAAACAATGCATGTGACATTGTTTTTCAAGGCTGCCAAAAATTGCTTCTGGGGAGGCGAGAAGGAGTTGATCCCCTTGCTTGAATTCCTGCTAAGAGGGGTGCCAGCCCAACGAGCCCCTAGCGTATTTGGTTGGCAATGAGATTGGGATAGGTTGTTGTTACTTGTGCTGTTGCAGTGTTTGTGGTGTTATTGAGGCAGTGGTGGAGGTTGTTGTCGTTGTTGCTGCCATTGCGGTCGCCTTTTTTCGCTTATCCTTTTCTGGTGATATTCGCAGCCGGCATTCCAGTTGTGACTGTGATATTCTCATTTTGCTCATTCTGATTTCCAAGTAAGCATTTTTTAGATTAAAGAGTGCTTGCTTGAAGTTCAGGCATTGCTAGCAGCCTACCTGCTGTACCGTGCCAAGTGCAACATTCCTCCGCTGGCCTCGTCGTGGTCATTATTCAATCAATGGCATTTGGAAAGCTCATGGCGAAATGGTCATGTGAAGTTTGTGGTGCCAAATTCCACCATTGCCAAAGCTGCCCAAGCTGCCCAAGCTGCCCAAGATTTGTGCAGGAGCCTTCAAATTTGGTCTTGAAGATCCTGAACTTGCCGAACCCCTTCTTGCGATTGCAGGGAATTCTAAAGGCATACACATTCCGGAGAGCCTGTGAAGGTTGCTTCCTGCACCCAGTGTCCAAAGCCAGAGGATGCTTGACTAATGCATGGTCTGGGGATGCGATCACCAGAGCTTGGTTGGTGATCGTATCGTTTTGATTTTCTTAGTTGCTACTTGGTCCTGTTGTATTGATCCAGCATGATTCAGCACTCCATAATTCAGAAGGGTCCTGCGGCTATTGATTCATGTGATGGTTGAAATTTGTGGCATGCCATGTCTGGCAGGATCAGCTCTCATTGCAGGGTCGACCACTCTGCAGCATTTTTTCCCATATTTACCTGCTATCTTAATATGACAATGATTATATATATATGTATATATATTAATATAGTTACTATTTATATTATAGGCGGTGCATATTATATATAAATATATATTATTTACAAAGATAGAATATAAATGAATAAATAAAAAGAATCTCTCTATATATATATAATATATATATGTATATATATATATATATCTCTCTCTCTCCCCATTCCAATTTCCCCTGCTTTTTTCTAGGGTAATGTTGTAGGAAATCATTTTTGGAAGTACAAAATGTGCAAAATGTACAAAACACCTCAGTGTCGGAGCAAGTTTGGAAGTTGAGATGTCGAAAAAGTGCATGCCGTTGTGGCACGAAGCACATTTCGAAGTCAAAAGTGTCAAAAAACTGACGGATTCGGAGCACTTTTGGACGTTCATATGTCGTTTTGCGTGGCAGGCCTCAGGGATTATGCACCTGGTCAAAAGTGAGCAAAATGTGAGGGTTTTGTGGCATTTCCTAAAACGATGGCAGGCGTGGGACATATGCAGAGGATCTCGCAAGATGTCTTTCTTGTGGCAGGCACAATACAAGTGACATGTTCATCAGAGCTGTTCGGAGGTCAGGGCGCTGATTTCCTGAGAGGGGTTGCATTTTGGAGCATCAGATCTTCAGGTTTGCTCAGATGATTTTGTGGAGTGGTAAAACCGAAAAACGCATTGGTATGAGGCCGTCAGCTCTGCTGACTTTCCATTTTTGAAGGAAGTCTCGCAGAATTGTTTTGTTTTTGATGTTGCCAACTTCAAAAAATTGAGGAAGTCTCGCAGAATTGTTTCGTTTTTGATGTTGTCAAGTGCAAAAATTGAGAAAGTCTCGCAGAATTGTTTGTCAAGTTCAAAAATTTAGGTTTCGCAGAATTGTTTTGTTTTTGATGCTGTCAAATTCAAAAATTGAGGAAGTTTCGCAGAATTGTTTTGGGTCCTGCCCCTAAAAAAATAGAATATACATATATATATATATATTTATAACTTTATTTACTAATAAATATTATATAAGATAAGATAATAACCTAAATAGAAATGTATATGAACATGTGTACATATATATATATATTTTTATATCTTTATATTTATATATTTTCATATATATATATATTTTTTTTTAAATATTTTCATATATATATATATTGTTTACGTATATATATATATATATAGTTTTTTTTTAGTGCGTATATATAATATATACAATTATATTAAATATATATATATATATATATTCACATACATATGTGTATATTACACATATATATATATACACCCATATGTGCATTTGACCCTTCAACGCGCCAAATTGACCCTTCAACGCGCATTTTTTTCAAAATGGCGCGTTGAAGGGTCAAATCGGCGCGGCCAAGGGTCTGGCCAAGCTGCCCTCTGCAGCCAGAGCAGCCATGCCAATTGAAGTAGAGTAGTTATGGAATTTCATATCTGGAATTTGATATCGCTGGTGCCGATGATCGCATGAATCGGCTTTGCTGTCGGGACATGACAAGCTTACGACGCACCTGTTCAAGTTGCAGGTAACTGCTTCATTTCTACAGCTGGAAAGGACTGAGCAGCTGGGTGTGTTGTTGGTTGCGGTGTATCTTCGCAATCCGCCGTTTCCTGAAAGAAATTGATTGGCATGCTTTTATTCTCATTTTTGCCAAGTGGTCAATGTCAAAGTTGTGGACGCAATACATGCAAAATGGAATCAGGTTCGCAAAGTTCCTGCTAGACCGCGCCCAGTCCAAGAAGACAGCTTTGCAGTTTTCTTTGCTGGATGGGATTCTTGCTTTCTGGCGAGCCACGAAAGGTCCTGGCAACCGGAGAGCTTATTTACCACCTGGGAAAGTGAAGCAAAGGAGAAAGATCACATCCAAAGCAGAGTGATCACAGCACAGCTGAAGTATTGTGAAATGAATTGAACCAGCTGAGGTGCCCAACTGCCATCGACAAGTTCATTGCGTTTGGACACCGCTATGCTTGGAAGTGAGTGGGAAACAAGCTGCATCTGCACTTTCCGGTTGCGGTGCTTTAGCATTGTCATGAATTCCACAATTTGGACAAAAATTCAACAAAATCCTTAATATTTTTCGCAACCAGTGAAATGCCAACATAGGTTATATTTATTCTATCACTATTTCAGTAAGGATTTTACTTTTCCATCTTCAAAAAGAGGTGCACCCAGACATCCCATCCCGCTGCTCGGGTCACCATCCAAGGTCTGGAACATGCGCTGGGCCACGGACAATCCGGACCTCTTCGCGATTATGGAGAAGACCCGTATGTACATAGCAAGGAAACCCCAGGTCAGGTCAGGGGAACTCTGTTAGTTAGATCCACCGGCCCCATATTCAACAGAAGAAATGTACTTTCATATATCCTTTGGAACGGAACACTTTTTTGTTTGACGAGTCCCAGAATTGTATGCACAGTGTTGCAACATGAAATTTTGGTGCAGGCTACACTTTTGTTGACCAGTTCCCATGAAATATCATGGCTTCAGATCATAGCTGCCAGTCTTCAAAAACCTATCACCGAGGTGCGAGGCTTGCAACCTGAGGACAAGGGGGGGTCAACTTGAGGCACAACATCAATTTTGTATCCGATGATACAGTGCTGGTTGGTAATTTGGTATCCTGATGATGGTTTATAGATGTTTATAGTCATTCCCAACAATAAGCCAGTTCGTACACCCTGTATGATAATCTATAGGAACCAATCAAGCCACAGTATGTTTAGACCGCCAGGAGCCAGTTCTGTCCAACGCATATATCTGCGCCTTCAAAGACCTCCAGATCCAAAGCGTGCTCATTGATGAGGCTGGAAATGACCCATGACTTAGGCATCAATTTATTGGGTACCAAAGCCAACAAACACTGGTGATTTAACCAAAAATGGGGATCTACGCAACCAATCAATGGGCATTTAACCAACCATAATGGGATACTTGGAAAATCTTGGAAACAGGGGATGTTCATGGGATATATCATATTATATCGCCAATCATTTCATATTTGTCTCCGTGTCTCAAACTCTGGGATGCCCAGAAAATGGGGGAAAATCAACTGAGATGACGCATCATCATCATTTTTTTTTTTTCCGTTTTTCCTCTCAAACCATGACAACAAGCCCAGCCTCCCTTTGCCGACGGCAGGTGATCCAGAATCCAGAGAACCCCCGCAAGGAGGCAGCAGGGGCCAGAGCCAACATATAACCCAGGGTATGGCTGGGGAAAATACATGAAAATGCAACATGTCCTGTAACCCAGCAAGGACTATCTGACTATCTTCAATAGTATAATGAGTCGAGCTTAATTAAGAAACACATGTTGTCCGCAAGCTTAACGTTCGCCGAGACTCATCATTGTGGCATAACAGAGACAATTCTGTGTTGCTGGGAAGTTGCGAATCCAAGCAGGGCCAAGGGGGGAAAATTAGGCCACGGTGGCATGTGAAAGATACCTTGAATACAGTTATCTTCATGAGGAAACCATATCACCTGATCATCAAGAGGGATCAAAATCCGCCACCCCCTATGACCAATATGCTGAACGGGCTAACAACACGCCACCCTCTATGGCCAACATGTTGAATCGGGTAATTACATCAACATTATCTTCATGAGGGAAGAAAATCCGCCACCCCCTATGACCAATATGTTGAACGGGCTAACAACATCAACTTTATCTTCATGAGGGATCAAAATTCGCCACCTCCTTAGAACAATATGTTGATTGGGGAAATAACATCAACTTTATCTTCATGAGGGATCAAAATTAGCCACCCCCTCTGAACAATACGTTGATTGCGGGACATCAACTCCGGGCAAACGTCACAGGTTGCAGCGAACATGTTCAATATTGGGGAATGTACCACTCTGTATGGCAGACATTTTCTATTTTTTGGAGAGCCACCAAACGACCCACCATTACAAAGGGAGTATCATATGAAGTTTGCGTGGTTGCTCAGCTGGATCTCAGGTGAGTTCCAACTATCAATGGATGTGCAAAAGAATGATTTCAATGAAAAAGTCAGGACAACATGTTTATATTATTCTATAATCTCCATTTTTTTTTGGTTGAAACACCACCATCTTCTTCTTCTTCTGGGCTCCCCAGTCGTTTTTCCACAGCGCTGATCTTTGAAAAGGTGCTGTTGGACTTTGAGACAAAGAGCTTGAGAGACACCAGAGACATCCTCACCAAGGCGCTTTTTTCGCGGTGAGATCATGTGTTTCACATGAACTAAATGGTGGCAATATGACTAACATTATATGACTATATAATATGATTTCACATTGACAGAGATTAAGATTCATAAGGGTGATTCCCTTAACCCTCAGAGATTTGTCAGGGCGAAACATTGCCTAAAGTGGCGGAGAAGTTTGTCAGGTCTCCAATCTGAAAGATGCCTTCAACTATGTGCGTGTCTCAGGGATATTGGGTGCCGGATCCACGCCTGTGACAGGCTTGGTTTCCCGTTAAGATCTATATTTATAGAGATTTATAGATATAATACTAATGTCTATCATTTTCCATTTTCTTGTACTTTGTTCTTTTTTTTCCAATTTCCTAGTACTTTCTATTTTCCATTTCCTAGTCCTTTCGATTTTTTCCCTGATGTTCTAGTACTTTCTAGTTGGGATGGTTTACCCAATTATGATTTTCACCAATTTTTTTGGTGCCGAGTTGTTTCACCAGAAACGACTCAGCTGCTGAGGTTGATGCCAATCCGCATCCCAGACTCTGGAGGCAGTGGCTGCGATCCACCCCTGTTGGTTGATGATGATAGTTATAGGTAGATAGTCATAGTGGATTTGACTACCCTTCATATATTGGGGACCCAAAAGGGGAGACCCTAGTAACCAGTATGATGGAATGACAGAGATATTTTGAACACTGCTCACTTCAACAAGTGAAAGAAAAGGTCTACTGGATATTTCAATTCCGAAGATATCCCCCTTGCTGCCTAGTTGCATGGCATTTTGCCTGCTGCTTGACCATTTTTTACACGCCGCGCCCGCAATGATATTTGCCAAGCTGGCTCATCGTACAAACCACTGGTCCGGGGTCCGCGGGGCTGGAAAGAAGCTGCGCAGCGAGGCACACACACAAAACGGCTGCGCTCAAGCTTGTTCCCAGTGTAGACATGCTGAGACATTTGGTGGGCTCAAGAGTAACTAACAGACCGGTGAAAGGCAGCATTCGTCCCGAGGATGATGCACTCAGAAGAATCGCCAATGGCGAACCTATTGACAGTCTGCTCCTCAATTTTAGTTGAACAAGCCATACATGCAGCAAATTAATTTTGTCAAGACAGACTTTTTCAGCCACCTGAGGGAGGTATTTGGCTTATTTTGGCTTTATGAACTTCATGGATCAATTCAAAAATAGCATATGCATACACCCAATTTCACTGATAAATTATGATAAATTAAATTAAATTAATACTTTCCCCATAACAGTGGCAATCAGGTCGAGGTGCAGAGTGGTGAAGACAAGGTGGAACTGCGTATCTCACCCAATGCCACAGCTGCTTGGATCGGCAAGAGCCATGGAATCCCTGGGTTTTCACATCAAAATAGCTGGGATTTATAGCTACTGCTCCCTATCCATTTCATTGTCCTGGCCTGTTTTTTGGTCTTTCAGAAGCTGGAAGGAGTGGAATTTCAACACTGGATTTGTGTTTTCTTGGCTTCAAAGTCAAACATCCCTTGCCTGGAAAACCGACGCTACCCAGACCTTTCCAAAACCATATAACGATTGGATTGCGCGAGAATCTGTTCGTTTGAACATAGAAAAAACACCAAATCCCATGGCTTAAAATGCTTAAAACATCATTTTCCCCAGAAAAACAGCAAAAAATGATGGGTCAATCCAGCATTTTTGGACCTGTTCATCCTGTTTTTTCGGACCCGTTACCGAGGTCTTTCACCTGGCAGCAGAGGCGCAAAAGGTGTTGCCCTTGAAGGACTTCCCAAGCCTTTCCCGCGATGACCGAGAGTTGAACCTTGACGCGGGGAATGTTGAAAGGTGATAAGGGGCACCCGCACCAGGAACAAAAAAATCCCCTGGTTTTTTTTCTTCCAATTCTGTGGCTTTAGTCCAAAAAAGGAGCATGCCACACAATTTTAATATGTATATATATATATATCATGTATCTATGTAAGTAAGTTATATCAATGTATCTATACATATTTTTTCATATCTATACACATACATATCTATTCAGATGTTTTTTGAAGCCATTGGATTTTAGAAGTAGCACATTTTTGACACACCCTTAGTGCGGTGTTCAATTGATCGGCTCTGCCTAAGGGAGCATGACTCCAGCCTGGCGGAGTTTCTTGGAGAGACAGGAATTCTCATGGGATTTAACCATCAACAAAAATGGGGGATGTAATGGGTTAATGGGATAGACTAATTTTAAACCATCAAAACCCAGTTTTATGATGTTTTAAGCCATAAAATTGGGGGATATATGTACTATCATTTAAACCATTCAAAGCCAGTTTCATGGGATGTTAATGGGACTTAATCATCATGTTCATCATTTATAGGGGTTTCAACCATCAAAATATGGGAATCCAGTGCTAAATGCTGGCTGATGGCTGATAATGTACGGAGGTCGGGGGTTATACTACCCAATATCGTGGGGATTATCATGATCTCAATCTATAATGCTGAGAATTCCCATGAATTCCCTACAGCTATGATAGCTATGGATTGTGATTAGGATAATCCATTGACCAACAGCTATTTATATAATTTGCTTTTCCAATAGGCCCAATAGACACTGCGCTATCGTAGATGTCCAAGTTTAGACCCCCTGCCATCCACACTTGAGCAACAAATTTATGGATTTGTCTGAACCTAAATCTCTTGGTCCAAGTACAATGATCATTTTATTTATATCATTTTGGAGTCTCCAGTTTTTTTGGGACAAGCCCATCTTTTGGTTGAGCCATCCTCTTTTGAAAGCACCCCCAAGTTCCACCCCTTTCCCATATGTCTTGACATTTTTGACAAAGGCTTGGCATCAAGAACGGAGACATCCTGAAAGTCAACATCAAGAAGACCAGTGGACCTATGGATGCTTGACATTTTCGAACAGCAAGTGGCATGTCAATCAGTGATGTTTTTTGCATCGATGCAGTGCCTCAGGATGGATTTCACATGGATTTGGCTTCCGACACGACGGGTTTCAGCCGTGAGACCTCCCTGTGCCTTGGCGAACGCGACAAAAAGGGGGGCTGTTGAAATGCCTTGTTGATTGTAACATGTAGGGCGCATCATTTACCATTGAGTTATTATATTTAGACCTTAGGCCACTTACCAATTACATCTTTTACCCATCTTTACACACTCTTTATACAATCTTATTTTTGAAGCCATCTTGACAATCTTGACCCATTGCGCTAGCTTCATGCACACTCCTATGTTTAGAGATTCATACCCTAGACTTTAAGCATCAACCAAGATCAACATGGCCATCTTCAGATTGTCATCTGAGGTTCACAACAGATGGCAGTGGTGGGACTGAGACCCCAGAGCCTTAGCTGCTTTCGAGGGATGGCACAAGAATCCCTGGCTGATGATTGGGATATGTTTCAATGGGTCGGTTTTTCGTGAAATCTACGGGGTTTCCCATGGTTTTTCCCATGAACTATGGAGGCTTCCTCTAGATTTCCCCTTAAACCAATCCATTGAACGTTGGGATTCTGCTATTTCCTCTGTGGATAGTTGCCGATTCCAAGACCCTTCTTCTGCAAGAATGAGATCCTACCCTCCAGTAGACGAACATAACTATGGAAAATCACCATTGTTAATATGTAAATCATCTATGAATGGGCCATTTTCCATAGCTACGTTACTTTACCAACGGCTACTTACGATTCACAGATCGAGTCCCTTCCAGCCATTCCAATTGGGTGATGTCGGACTGCCCAGCCTTTTCTGGGCAAACTTTAGTCTTTTACCCCAAAGGGGGTTTATGTATATATGAGCGATGGCTCTTATTTGCGTATATGGAAAGTAGTATTCGGACGTACCCCGGTTTGTCAAAAATATCATATTTAGCTTGTAAAACGAGGTAGGAACACCCCGAGAACGAGGTAGGCAAAAACGTTACGGGACTGGAGAACGAGGTAGGAACACCCCGTCAACTGATATATACGTATATATACATATATATATATCGTATTACGTCGTATCATATTACATTTTTTGATAAAGATCACACACACACACATACAATCACACACATGTATATATATATATACACATGCATACATACATACCTACCTACATACCTACCTACATACATACATACATACATACAAACATACAAACACATACAAATACATACAAATACATACAAATACATACAAATACATACAAATACATACAAATACATACAAATACATACAAATACATACAAATACATACATACACATACATACACATACATATACATATACATATATATATACATATACATGCACAAATACATATGCATATATACACAAATACATATATATATATATACACATATCTACACACACACATGCACGCATATACATATGTATGTATATATATATATATACATAGATCCATCCATATCCATATATATATACATACTTATGCACATATGTATATATGTATACATATATATATATACATATTATACACATGCTGCACATGCTAACAATCTAAGATTGGCCACTTTGCCGCCACCGAGGCAGATGACGATTTGGGCCATGCCGGGACCTTAAACAAATCCGGACAAAAATCCCAAGGTCTTGCGGGTCTAAAGTAATGACAATCGGGAGTTGTTTGTTGTTTTCGTTGATGATCAGACGGTTTCGTTAGTTTATTGATACTAAAACTAAAACTAACCAATTAATTAGATGATCACAATATTGATGATCCGCTAGTGGCTGTAAACAATGTGATCACGTAGTTATTCCCATCAATTGGTTGACAAGGGGAATATGCTAAGAGTGTTGAGACTCCAATTTTCACTGGTTCACTAGAAGCAGGGCTGCCGACTAGATCCACACATGGACACGGAATTATATAACTCATCTGAAGGCATTTAAAGTGTGAAACTGCCATAAAACCAACATTAATCATAGAATTGGATGATGGGAAAATTTACAGGAAAGCCCTATATTTGATGGTAAAAACCATGGTTTCCTGTAGATTTTCCCAACAAAACCAATCCATTGAGAATCATTTATAGTAGATTTTCCCATAAAAAATGGTGATTTTCCAATGAATTAAACAACTCCCTTCTTTGGGGGGATCGCAACAAAAATCCCAGGCAAACATCGTGGATTTTTTCATAACCGAGGCCTGGAAGGCTCCAAGGATGGGAGCTCCTTGGCAGGTGCAGCGGATTGGGTCATGACCGTAAGGACTAACACATGTCTACAGTCTACCCTCTGGTAAACTAACATAACTATGGAAAATCACCATTTTTAATGGGAAAATCCACTATAAATGGTCATTTTCAATAGCTATGTTAGTTTACCAGAGGGTAGATGTTTATACAATCTATTTTTTTTTGGAAACACTTGATCAACTTTGCTTGGTCTCCACCCAATTCCTGAAGAATTCGTTGGGGTTTTCCCCCACTTTGGACATCGCATCAGCGCTGTGAGGCCGTTGGTGCCGCGTGTGCTCCGGTTGGATCACTCTTTCAGAATGCGGCCCTCATCTCAGTGCCTGCAGTGCCCTGCAGATCGTGGACAATTCTGTCGTCCAAATGGGGGGCCCACAGAAGAGTTGAGTAGTTGGTTTAGGACGTTTAGGACTAGAAATGACCAGTTCATTTAAGTGGGTTTGTCTGAAAATAGGGTATATTCCCAATTATAGCCATTTAATAGGGATAATGATCATTAACCATTGGGTTTAGGGGTACACTATTTTCAGACACACCCAAGTGAGTCCAGTTGACCAGTTCACCCCTATCCCCTGGTTGAATCCGTGAGGTGAGTTCTCCACTAGCTGATACCACCCCTCCCCACGATGGAAACTTGGCGGCAAATCACCTGTGGTCAGCTGGTTTACATGGATTTACATGGTGCCATTTTTGTGAAGATGAAAAACAACGATAAACCATGATAAATCATGGGGTCTGGAGGTATACTACATTTTCAACATTTTCAGAGAAACTCACATTCATTTGTGAAATGAAACTTGAAGCTACATAGAATCTGCAAGAATCTACCGGGAAAATGAAGATCCCTCGAAGGCGAAGGTGCGATCACGCATTCCCTGCGGGAGGTGATCAAGAAGATTGCACCCTGGTTGCACCATGCGGCTTGTGGGGCTGAAAGCCTGCCATAGCTGCCAGGCAATGCGGTTTCGAAAAGTTCAGTGAACCATAGTGAAGCTACTAGTCACATGATACTCTGCATATCCGGCATATCTGATCATCTTTGGAGAATATGCCAGAGATGTATCCATCCCAAGGTTGGTCCAAATGGATGTGGTCCGCAGGTTGGTCCGGGTGCAGTTCGTTGCTGGCGCCTTTGGACATGTTTTTTTTGTTGGGGCGCGTCATAGCAAAGACATAGTGAAGTCATCTCAATGACATAGAGTATACATATAGCATACATATTATAAATACATACATATTATAAATATAGCATACATATGTTTATACATGGTAAGTTTTCTTATCAAAACGACTGCATGAAAACATCAACAGTGCTGCAGGAGGTGCAGGACTTGATGTCCATTGCTGAAGATATGGAGAAGGTGGTGTCTTGGCCCGCGTCTTTGAGCTGTTGGCAGTGAATTGGTTGTGATTATGTATATATATATATTAATATCTGATATATTTGTAGCTACAGCTAAAAATATCTATATCCAGTATCTCTTTACATATATATATATATACATATATATATATCCTCTATTACATATGGTAATAATATGTGTATACATATAATATATACATATATGTATAAATACACATCCACCAAAAAATGGAACCTTCGCCAGCAACAAAATGAACAGTTCACCAACCAAGAGCGAGGTTTTCCACTCAAAATTTGAATTGGCGATCGTAATTCTTTTAAGACTTTAGCCATCAAATATATCGGGCCTCAAGGTGGGTAAAGCAATTTTGAGCCTCAGCCAGTTATTGCCACGCAGCAGAAATTCAGTTTTGATCAATACGCCCCAATTCCCTGAACTTTTGTGGATGTGGCCACATGCCCGCATTTCATGCTCAAGGTTCGACGCCATGCCAGGTGATGCCACACAAAAAACAGCAGACACTGGATGAAATGGTTGGATTCTGATAGATCATCCTCCAGCAGTTAAGTTGTCATTTCTTCATCCCAGAATTGGATGATGAGAAAATCTCTAGGGCTTACCCTTTTCCCCCAATATTTCATGGAAAGAGACATGGTTTCAACCTGCAAATGTCCCTCAAACCAATCCCAAGTTCGTGAAATCAATCCTAAAACATCCTAAAACCATGGCTTCAACCTTCAATGTTCCCTCAAATCAATAACCCAAACCCATTTTCCCGACCTTTTTCCGGGTGCCAACAAGGAATGCGAACACGCGGGGATGAAGAAGCGCTTGGCGCGGCTGGCGGATCTCACACGGGAACAGGCCCAAACGGCGCAGGAGGCGCTGCACTTGGCTCAGGACAGTGCAAGGCGCTCACGCTGGGGGTGGCTGGGAATAGGGGTGAGTAGTTGAGTAGTTCATACGATTTGTAGTTTTAATGTTTTATGATAATAGTTGATTACTTAGTTGTTAATAGTTAAGAAGAGTTAATGAGAGTTAATAGTAATTAATATGACTAGTAGGGTTTAGTATGTAGTCGATTAGTTGAGTAGTTATGATAAGAATAATAGATAATTAGGGGTTAATAGTAGTAGTTAATGCTATGATTAGTAGTTAACTATATAGTTAATAACAAGAAGAATCATAGATGAGGGGTGATTAGTTCTGCAATATGATATCAGTTGATGTTTATTAATTAGTTTATGGTTATTGATTAGTTGATGGTTCATTAGTTGCTGGTTGATTCAGCTCATGGTTCATTAGTTGATGGTTCATTAGTTGGTTGATGAATACTAGCTGATTTCATGGGTTTCCGAAAGTTCATGAGAATCTGACCTCAATCATTTGCGCAGTGGCAATTCCGACCTCAACTGCCTAGATGGAGACCTAGGGATTATTGGTTCTCTGTCTGCGAACATTTTAAGATCTTTTGAGACATAGACTATATAGATCCCTTAAGATTGAATGAATAGAGAGTCAAGATCGACATCTATAGCTTGAGGATGCTTTGGGGCTGTACATATAGAACCCAGGCAATACCAACCATGAGCCAATCCCATCACAAGGGACAGCGTCAGGGTGAGCCTGCAGCTCCGAGAGTTGGCTTGCGCAGTGAACAGCCCAAGCCTCAGCGGGTTTTTTCAAACGGCTCAGCGGGGACACCCCATGGTTAGCACGAAACAAGCTGCAACAAGCTGGAATCGTTTGAGTTCAAAGAGCTTACCCTCTGGTAAACTAAGATAACAATGGAAAATCACCATTTTTAATGGGAAAATCAACTATAAATGGCCATTTTCAATAGCTATGTAACAAATTACCAGAGGGTAGCTCCTGCCATTCTCGGTTCAAAGGGTCAATCCACCCCACTCCACCCTACCCCATGGAAGATGTCAGAAAAGTTGGTAACGTACTTGGTTGTTAGGACCAAGCACGTTAATAGCCCTCCCCACCCTACCCCACTCCACCCCACCCCACCACCCCCAGGAAAAGCGTTACTTTTGCGAGCGCGGTTTTCGGTCCGCTGGCAACTCCAATCTGTGTCTTGAGGTGATGGCGACGGCGAGTCGCCACCAGTGGCCAGCCAGAGCTCTCCAGGAACTGGCTACATTTTCTGGGGTCATTGGGATTTAACATTATTTAACCAAGCAGCAAAATGGGGTTAACTGATTAATGATGTGAAATGGGATGAAATAAGACTTAACATGACTTAACTAACACAACAATAAGGATTAATAGGATAGAATAGGATACAATAGGAATTTCAACGTGGGGATATTAATGAAACATATTTCCTCACCAACAGATATAGTTGGTAGCGGGCACTGTCAACAGAAGGGAGTACGATTCCAATCAGATGGCCCCACAGCCATCAGTGCAGCTTTTTTTCCCCTACTTGTTTTCTCTGAAGATGAGGTACCCCTACAATGCACTGTTTAAAGCGTCATTTTACCAGTAAAATGGCAATTGGGGTCTCCTCCAGACACAGACACACCCATGTACTTGGTGTAGTTCTGATACCGTATTTTGGCTGAATGCGCATCCAACTATATCCGCTATTTTGACGTGAACAGAAGGGGACCTATTTTTTAAAAAAATGGAACCAGACATACTTTGTGGTGGGCATTTTTTCATTTGTTAGGAATGTGATATCGCATTATACCATATTGTATGAAATTACATGAAATGAAATGAGTTTGAATGAAAACTGATTGGATATTGACAATGAAGCCAAGCAGATACATGAATCCTGAAAAACTGGAATGTACCAAGACAAAATTGCCTTGCTTTGATCCAGTGTCTTCAGGATCAAGGGAAGAAGACAACCAGATGCTCTTTCAGGCGCAAACCTCAAAAATAAGGTGCAACATGGACAGTGACGGATCACCAATTATGATGGATGGCAAATGACTGTCAGACTGATAATCATCATATATCATGATAATAGTCAAGCACTCACAATAGTAACAACATAAAATGGTAAATTCATCATATGTAATGGTAATGACAATGCCAATAGTCACAATGATAACAACAGGCCGCAACGCCTCCAAATTTTAAAGCCAGGCGATGATGGTGGGCTTGCAGCAGGCCGCGCTGCAGCAGCAACAACAAGCAGCTGCGGCGAAGGAGGAAGAGCCACGCTCTTTCTTGATGAAGCGAGGGGCACCTTGGTGGCGACATGTGATGACGGACCAGGAAAATGGCCAGGAAAATGGCCAGGTGAATGGGGGGCGGTTCAGCTTGAGATGACTATATATTCCTTCGCTGTTTCAACGTTGCCGAATTGCTGCTTCATATCCCATGTTTTTCGTACTAAAAATAGACCCATTCCCATGATCTCCTTCTTTTCTGGGTGCCTCAACCAGCCAGCTGCAGCCAGCTCCCAGGATGTCGACATGCAGGAAGCCCACCAGCAAGCGCAGCAGCAGAAACCCGCCGCCGAGCGAAGTGTCTCTGGATCAGGTCAGTGGGAAAGACCCCGTTGGTTTTTTGGTTTCCGTGGCGATTCCCCTATGGATGGTTAAATGGGATAAAACTGGTGGCTAGAATATCGTTGGGATATTTTTATATATTTTTGGGATAGTGGCTATACGCAGTACTTTCTTAGGGGGAATATGGGTATATAGAAATAAGGTTTATGTATATTTACATACATGCATATTGTGGTTCTCCCTATTTCTGTTGATTGGCATTGCTTTCCACATAGGTTTTTATTGTCTATCCACCTTGCTTCGGCAGGTGTAGCTAGTTCCGTCCACATGACCAAGGAGGAGCCTCTGGACACGGCAAGTGAGCTTGATTTTCCAACAGACACATACCCTTATCAAACATAACTGGGAAAATCCCCATGAAAAAATGGAACTTTTGATGGGAAGGAGGGTTCTAATGAACAATCCACAGTTAGTTCGATGATTATCTCATTGACATGCAAATTTTTAAGGTGGGATTCCCAGCCAGCCATATATTGATTACCGCAGGGTAGGTACAAGGATAATGGGATTTAACCAACAAGAATGCGAATGACATGGGATGTTAACGGGACATATCACCAAAACTTGTATTTGGATTTGCTTGAACATGGAGTAAACCCACAACATGGTAATGTTGTTTTTCCCCCTTGCCAGGTTTGCTTCCTCAACAGCAAGCTGCAACTCCTCCTTCTTCCTCTTCTCCGCGTTCTCCTCCTTCCTCGTCCACCTTCTCCGCCTCTTGCTGCTGCCCGCTCCGGCTGCTGTGGAGCATCCTTGGGCCCGAACACATGTCAGATAGAATGCCAGAAAGATTGCCAGATAGAATGTCAGATTATATGACAGATGGAATGCCAGAAAGAATGCCAGATAGAATGTCATATATGACAGATAGAATGCAAGAATAAAATGTCAGGCTGGGGATCACTCGAAGTAACGTACTTGGAAGATGGAATGAATGGGATACCCTATCTTCACACAAACCCGTTATGCACTGCACGTGTTTGTTCTGTTCATTTTTAGGATGGGAAAACTTGAAATTATGTATATCTATCTATCTATCGATCGATCCATCCATCCATCCATCCATCCATCCATCTATCTAGCTATCTAGCTATCTAGCTATCTAGCTATCTAGCTATCTATCTATCTATCTGTCTATCTATCTATCTAGCTATCTATCCTATCCTATCCTATCCTATCCTATCCTATCCTATCCTATCCTATCTATCTATCCTATCTATCGATCTATCTATTGATCTATCTATCGATCTATCTATCGATCTATCTATCGATCTATCTATCTAAGTATCTATCTATCTAAGTATCTATCTATCTAATCTTATCTATCTAATCTTATCTATCTAATCTTATCTATCTATCTAATCTTATCTATCTAATCTTAGCTATCTAATCTTAGCTATCTAATCTTAGCTATCTAATCTTAGCTATCTAATCTTAGCTATCTAATCTTAGCTATCTAATCTTAGCTATCTAATCTTAGCTATCTAATCTTAGCTATCTAATCTTATCTATCTAATCTTATTTATCTAATCTTATCTATCTAATCTTATCTAATCTATCTATCTAATCTATCTATCTAATCTATCTATCTAATCTATCTATCTAATCTATCTAATCTATCTATCTAATCTATCTATCTAATCTATCTATCTAGTCTATCTATCTAGTCTATCTATCTAATCTATCTATCTAATCTATCTATCTAATCTATCTATCTAATCTATCTATCTAATCTATCTATCTAATCTATGTATCTAATCTATGTATCTAATCTATGTATCTAATCTATGTATCTATCTATGTATCTATCTATGTATCTATCTATGTATCTATCTATGTATCTATCTATGTATCTATCTATGTATCTATCTATGTATCTACCTATGTATCTACCTATGTATCTATCTATGTATCTATCGATGTATCTATCGATGTATCTATCGATGTATCTATCGATGTATCTATCGATTTATCTATCGATGTATCTATCGATGTATCTATCTATCTATCTAACTAACTAATCTAATCTAATCTAATCTAATCTAATCTAATCTAATCTAATCTAATCTATCTATCTATCTATCTATCTATCTATCTATCTATCTAATCTATCTATCTAGGTACGTACGTAGGTACGTATGTACAACATATCCTCAGTATATTTCCCACAATATACCCCTTATATTCCACTATCTGATCACCTGTTGGTTCACAGCCACAAGATGTTCACATCTACCCATCGAGATCGCTTGGCAGGAGATGGACAAAGCCCGTCGGGCACGTGCAGAGAAACTTGAAAGGGACCAAGCAGAAAAAGCACGTGCCTTTGGTTTTGGCGACGGTGCCGATCAGTGATCATGAATTGAAACCATATTTTTTGGAGGCCACCCCAAGAAAATATGTGAAATTCAAAACATAAACACACACGGGCACAGAACGAACAAACTATGAGGATATTTTATCAAGCAAGAATGGCCATGGGTCAGACTTTGCGCGCGTGACATTTCAACACTTCATGTATCTAGTCGATGTGTCAGTATTAATCAAAAGGTCGATATGGAACGTCTATTAGTTGTTTTAGTTTCTTACTTAAGATCACTTTCTTGTAAATTCATTTATTTGGATTTTCACGGTTTTATTTCACCATTTATTCACCTGGTTGTTTAATCCATGTTTCAATCAATTGCCCCAAAATTTTGAATGCATGAGCAACAACAGTCATTAATATTCGGTTTTCACTTGAAATTCAGATGCAGATCCAATTAGTTTTTCGAACACATTGATGGTTCCAATATGTCATCATCAAACGTCAAAACTATTAGTCCTTAAAAATAGTACGTAGTTTTTTTTTAATCATATGAGTAACCGACAAAGTTAATGTAATACTGATTTAGTCTTGCTTCGCCTTGGCCTGCCCGAGGTTGCACAAAACCTTCATAACCGATAGGGGACGACCCTATACCGATACCCTATTTGTGATACCTCCGGGAATATTGAAATCCTCACAACCGATGGGGGACGACCCTAATTTGTGCATGGCATTAGATTTAACATATAATTTTGTCCGCTACTCACACACATATATATATAACTAATATAATTCCAATATTTCAACATTTCCTTTTTCGAAAATAATATAAAGTAATTAAATCACCATTTTAAAAACAACGTACCATATATGTTTCTCCTGCTTTCCAAAAAAAACAATCATGATTAAACCCCATCAACTTCTATATTTAACATCATTGAACTTTTTAAATCCCCATATTTATAAAGTATCATATATCAATTGATCCTATACACCCTCTGGTAAACTAACATAGCTACGGAACATCACCATCTTTAATATCTAAATCAACTACTAACAATTGCGATTTTTAATAGCTATGTAACAAATTACCAGAGGGTAGATGCTACTCAGCTATATACTCTATAAATTTTTAATATGTTTTTTTTTTAAAAAAATATTTCTGCTTGAAAATTTACGTCAACGAAGCATTCGCAGCCAAGGTGAGCGCCAGGAGGCCGAAGCCAAGTCTCGGTCCCGAGAGGCGCTCTTCAACAGTCCCTTCGCAGGTGGGGGACCGATTTTAATGGAGATATCTGTGATAGATGGCATATCATGGAATATAATGGGATGTTTATTACTGGATTTTTTTATTATGGGATTTTTGATGGAGATGTTTGACAGGATTTATATATATATATATATATGGGATTGAAACGATTTAAACATCATTGTTTTGTGGTTTTAACCAGCCAAGACTGGGGATATATGTGATAAAAACCATGGCGGATTGATGACCCTCGGTACCGAAGTTTCTCATGTCATTTATCGGATACCCAGTCGTCGATCCATGGTTGTTTATTTATACGAGTCGTCATGGTCATCCCAGGTACGGGATGAGGAATGGGATTGTCCATGTGGCTTACCGCACATGGGTGACTGTCCATTATATGGCCATTACTCGCCATTGCACATTTTTGGGAAAATGAGGCTTAAAAAACTGGGATGGAAAGGCATCGCCTATTTTCAGACAAACATAAAACACGTCAGAAATAGCATTTTAGTGGGCAAAAAATCCGAAGTGGTTGGCGAGTTTTGTGTCAATTTCGGGTAAATCATGTGCATGGCTGCAGCCAGGTTAAACATTGGATTCAAGCAGCTCCCCCGCTCCAGAGGTGACCACCCCCAATAATACGTGCTTGTCGGTCATTGAGGCCCGCCCTTTGGCGGCCTGATTTTCCCCATTTTCCCAGTTGAATCCCAATCATTCATGGTATGCCACCGTCTCTGATGGTGAAACCCTGGCACAGAGCTAGAGACGCTTTTCCAATGATATCCCATTCTATCCCCAGAAAATGCTGGGTTTTGTACAGTAAAGCTTTGCTGGGTTCAACATTCATTGATTCGATTGGTTTAAGGGAAAATTGAAACCGGAAATCCCGAACCCCCATATTTCGCAGAAAAAACACATGGTTTGGTCACAATTTTCCCAACATTCATTTCCCAACAAACCACTCCAGTATATAGTATGCAAGCCATATCCCTTATATGATATATATATATATATACATATCATGTAAATTAAATAAACACATATATGTATATATATACAATATAATATATATGATATATATATATATGATATATATTATATATATGATATATATGATATATATGATATATATCATATATATATGATATATATGATATACATGATATATATGATATATATGATATATATATATGATATATATATGATATATATATATATGATATATATATATGATATATATGATATATATATATATGATATATATGATATATATGATATATATGATATATATGATATATATGATATATATGATATATATGATATATATGATATATATATGATATACATATATATATGATATACATATATATATATATGATATATATATATATATATATATACATGATATACATATATATATATATATATGATATACATATATATATATATATATATTATATGATATATATTATATATATGATATATTATATATATGATATATATTATATATATGATATATATTGTATATATGATATATATTATACATAATATATATATATATGATATATATATGATATATATATGATATTTATATATGATATATATATATACATATCCCATATATACTGTATACTGGTTTATTGATAACGAATGGTATCCCTTCGAATGGTTCTTCGCTCCCCACTTCAGGTGCAGCCAAGCCGATGGGCAAGTACTGACACTGCTTCGCAGGGACCCCCAGGGTGGCCGGGATAAACGAAGTGACCAGCCATAGCCCCATGGGGGTCATAAGGAACACCATATCAATTGGAATGTCAGGATCCTAAAATGGAGGTACTGTACCATATAAGGCCATATTTTGTGGGGATATTTCCTTACATAGGCCTTATATAGGCCTTATATATGGTAGGTACCTCCAATTTAGGTTCCTGAGATGGCCAGTGACCATAGAAATTATAGGAGATTATAGGGGTATATACAGTGTATACGTCATATGTAGACAACTCAAGATAAAGAATTTACAGTAGGATGCGTTATTTACTGGGTTTACCCAAATTATCAGTGTTTTGTTTTTGGATGATGCATATTGACTAAACCAGCCACAATGGGGATTTAATGGAATGTAATTGGCTAAAACCAACAATCTGGGGTATATGGGTTTATCCAAAATTAGGAGGGTTGGCCTAAACTTGCAATTTTACTGGTGAACTATAGCGTTTTTGGGCACACTACTTTCAGACAAACCTAACTCTTGATGCGGGGCAGTTGACTTGCAGAACATGATGGGACCATTTGGAGGGGGATCAACATAAACCAGAACAGCTGGGAGAACAGAAGGATCTCAGGATCCCATATCACGTCCATTGGTGAATCATCATATTCCCAGTTCTTCGCCATCCAAAATGGCTATATCCATTGGGGTCCCATCCCCTGTTTTCAGACAGACATCCACCCAAAAACAACGCCGTTGAGACAGAGGTGCTTGGGCGACAGACAGATCTCTTCCGTGCCGCGATTTCAATGGGCGGAAAAGAAATGATGCCAAAACTGCTTAAAGGTTCATCATTCTCTTTTTAAGAATGTGCCTTCAGCAGCGTTGAACCCTTTGATCAAATCATGTTGAATCTATGTATATTTTGTGATGAAAATGGGGTAAACAAAAACTTTTGAAGCTTTGGTGGCTTGTGAAATTTCAACTTCAGGTGCCTGAAGGCGCGTTTCGTTTCGGTTCCAATTGGCTCATCGTGGAATGCCCCGCCTCTGGGAGGGCGGCAACGATGAGTCGCTGCGTATTCGTATCGAATGTACATGCAAGTGCTTCGCAACTTCGCGACTGAAGATTTCAAGATTCGGCATTTTCTGCGACTCAGCCCAACACCCTTGACCAAAATGACCAAAAATGCTGCCGCAAAAACATGCAAATTAACAATGGGTAGTAGCATTTCCCACACACGTCCTTCTGCTTCGTCAAGGTCAGGGGCTTGGATTGGCAACTGGATCCCTTCAGCTTCCTTGCAGAGAGAACTCTGCAACCGTTCTGTAAACTTGTTAATTACTGGAAGTTGCCAAAAGGATCTATTTATCAAAATCTGGGAGAGACAAAGCGCTTTGACATGTGGGCCCCTATAAAATGCGGCTAGCCAGCATTTGACCTCTTCAGCATCTCTCCTAGAGTGCCTACAGCCATTTGTGTTCAGTGCTGAGAGGGCAAAATTGCCAGAGAAAACAGCGTTTGTGGTTTCTGGACCGTGCTCCTATTTGCTGGTGTGGCACTTCAAAGCTTCGGACAATGAGGAGATTGATGCACTCGCTACAATACAGTAGTCAAACAATTCACCAGACTCCGCACACTCCTTGCAACTTCTGGATCTTGGAGGTTTGCCAACATGCTCAACATCCATCAACATCCATCAACATCCATCAACATCCAATATGAAGTATTCCCATGAATTCCCATCAAAATATGGACAATGGACATTTCTTTATAGATGATACTGGTACCCATCAACTCACTGCCCTGGGCCCCCCTAAGGGTGCCCCCTTGGTGGGCCCTTGGGCCAGGCTTTTGGCCGAAGCCGCCTTGGAGCAGTTGGAATTTAGCGTGGCAGAGAAGGCCTTCGTTCGCTTCGAGGATTACCAGGCCTTGGATCCATTGGATCCACGGGATCGATCCGTGGAGCTGGGTGAAACATGGGAAGTTCCCCAGGGATTTCTGAAGTTAGAACTGGTAGATGTCCATATTTTTCACAGAAAAACTATCTGAACATTTGAAATGGTGGATTAAAATGGATTAAACTGATTAAACTAAACAAGCTGGATTTACCATTGTCCATGGATACAATCCTGTCAAACAATCCCTATTCTGAAAGGGAGGATTTCTCAGGATTTGTGGGAATAGCGTCGAATAGTTTCCATCAATATTAAGTTGATACGAACCACATAGGTGCTTAGTATGTGACACAGTAGGACTTGCAATATGATGTAATATGCGGATCATGGGTCGAAATACCGAGATATCCCCAACGTTTGCCAAACCATCCATCTCCTTTTCTCACAGGCGGGTCGATCAATAGAGGCAGCACCCCATTTTTGACCATCAACAGCTACATGGATGAAAATATATACCAACCGCACCCTACCATATTTCTCCCATTCAAAAGCAACAGCTTGCGCCCGGTAAATTTACATCGGACTAATCCCTTCCCCTTCTCATTAACCGCCAAATGGTGCCAAATATGTGGTTTCATCCCCGCATCCACCATGGTTTCTGGATTGTTTAGTATTAGGGGGGAAGGGATTACCATTGATATCATTGATATCCATTAATCAATATTTTTATCATTTACTAATAGTTATTCCACATGAATAGTTGATTCATCCCCATTAATAATTGGTTCCTTTTCAGATCTGCCAAGACCTGATTCGCAGGGCATCCAACTGGTGAAGCGGCTCCGATTGCTGGACGACAGGGTGAAGCAAAAGGCCGAGGTGGCGACGAAACTTCTGGGAAGTTGGGGGATTTGTGGCAAAAAATCTGGGATTTGCCTACCAATGATGCAAATTTTCGAAATTTTCATGGAGAAGATGATGAAGCAGTTGGTCTTTGGATGATTTGGGTGGGTTGAAACAAAGAAGTTTTAACATTTTTAATCTCCAAATTCACTTCATAGATCATAGATCCATATGTTTGAGCGGGAAGTCTGCTTGGCTCTGCGCCACAGATCTTTGGGACAGCTAGCACCAACACTTGAAACTCTGAAAGGTGTAATCAGAAAGGAACAGGGTCACAAAACTTCAAATTGTGAATTCTAACGTAAGTCAAATGAAATGGTTATAATTAAGTTGTAAGCCAACTTTTCTGAGGAAAATACGTAGTTTGGTTTACAGTTGCTATTGCTCAGTGTCAAACACACCCGTTTCGAAGGCGTACAACTTACAAGCGGTGCTTGATTACCTCGGGATGGGGCAAAATGTATTCGGCCCCCAGCATGAGACGGTTTAGTATTCAAAACTGCCAATTTTCCATAATATATGGGATGTCATCCTTCCCATTGACTTTCATATTTTTCAGAGGGGTTGAAACCACCAACCAGTTGTAAATTGGCCATGGTTTTCCTGCAAGATTTCCCTCAAATCAATCCATTTGGGAGCTCCTATCCGCCAAGTTATGCATGGTTAAATACCAAACATGTTCAACCTTTTTGTGGGTTTATAAAGATACCTCATCATTTTCTCTTGCCACTGCCATTTTTTCTGGACGCCATGGCAGGTGGCTGCCTATTTCCAGCGCTTCGATGAAGCAGAAAGCCTCTACCGCGAGATCGATCGCAAGGCTGGGGTATTTGGTTCGAATGTGTTGGGTGCAGGAGCAGTTGGTTATATATTTAAATGTTTAATGTATATTTTTTTTTCTAGGTTCAGTGCAGTTGATCGAAGTTTTTTGCAGTTCTTTGCGGATGATGGCTACAACAGTTTAACCTTGGGCATCCTTGAGCCAACTTTGCTGCTGTCAAATGGGTTCCAGTGTCTTTTCCAAAAAACGCTTGAAAAACAAAGACGAAACATCATCATCATCATCATCATCATCACCATCATCACCATCACCATCACCATCACCACCACCACCATCATCATCATCATCATCATCACCATCATCATCATCATCATCCTCATCCTCATCCTCATCTTCATCCTCATCCTCATCCTCATCCTCATCGTCCTCCTCGTCGTCGTCGTCATCATCATCATCATCATCATCCTCATCGTCATCGTCATCGTCATCGTCATCGTCATCATCATCATCATCATCATCTTCATCGTCATCATCATCATCATCACCATCACCATCATCATCATCACCATCAGCATCAGCATCAGCATCATCATCATCATCATCATCATCACCATCATCATCATCATCATTGTGCAGACGCTCATTTAAAGATTTTAAAGTGCGGGCAAACCTCCGGATCTTTCCGTAGTTGTGTATCAGTATAGATTGCTTGAATTACTAAAATAGATAGGATAAATAGATATTAAAACAAATCAAGAGATAGATAGATACATTGTGATACATTAGCATAACTCTACAACCATATTACATAAATATATGGGTTTCTCTGAAAATGAGCATTTCCCTAAAAAAAGCACCGCTGGTGAATCAGGACCTGGCGATTGATCTGCGGGTGCGTCTGGGCGATTGGTTCCGAGTCATTCAGCTGGCGCATGGAGCCAATGAGGCACTGATGGGTTGGGTTACGGGGGATGTTCGCCAACCTGATGATAAAATGGGGATTCAACAGGGACTGTTGATCTAATCCTATCTTAAATCCTACTGTAATCCTATCTACAGTGATCCTATCTATCTATCTGTCTATCTAACTAATCTTATCGTGTCTTATCGAATCCAATCTAGTCTAATCTAGCTTAATTTATATAATCTAATTTATCTGTTACACTCATACATTTATGCTTGGATTAACCAACAAAATAAGGTGACCTGGGACATTGATTGGTATTAACCATCAACAACTATGAAAACGTTAGGCACAAAAGGTTATATCATAGGATATAATGGGATATAATGAAGATATAATGGAGATATAAAGGGATAATTGGAATGTTATCCAATAAACCATCGCAATTTAACCAACAAACAATGGGGATGATATAATGGTTTTTCATACCATCTAGTGTGGTACTGTAAACCCAACAAACCCAGCATTTTTGATGGTACCCATCGAAATTGTGATAGTTTACCCTGCTGCTGCAAAATTGGATTTCATGGAATATGATTAGACTTGGATCTAACTAACAGACAATTGGGTTCACCAAGCAAATCATGCGGGTCTGAAAATGGGGGACATCCCTAACATTGCGGCATTGCAACTTTTGAGAACATGTTGATTACCATGAAATTTTGGGGTACGCTATCTTCCGACAAAGCCATGTGGTCGTGGTAAACCATGCTTCAGCATGCTTCAGCAACCTCCAACGAGAGAAAACAATTGAGCAAAATCCCTAAGATCTCACTGGTCAATCCTAAAATTTTAACTTTTTCAGGGCTATGGTAAATCCCTCTGGTAAATGAACAGTTCGACCCTGAACATCTTCCAACCCCGTCGTCGAGCCACGGGTCGGATGGTAGGACTTACTGCATCAAGCCTGGAGCGCCATCGGTGACTACTATGCAGATCGTTGCAAGTGGGGGGACTGATCTGGATGAGAGAAAGGGTGATTTCGAAATGCTATAAGAATGGTATGAAAATGGTATAGAGAATGGTATGACAATGGTATAGATAATGGTATAAATAGCCCAATCACATGGTATAGTCAGTATAGTCATGGTATAATATCTGGATATATCTGGATGAATTTGATGACCTCACGTCGCTTTCTGTGGAATGATGGTGTTTTCCGTGGAATCATCCCCAAACGACTGCGCAAATTTGTGGCCAGCTTGGACGCATGAGGTCAAGAAATCTGTGAAGAAATCATAGCGTGGAATATACCCTCTGGATCCCTCTGGTAAACGAACATAACTATGGACAATCACCATTTTCAATGGGTAAATCCACTATAAATGGTCATTTTCAATAGCTATGTTACTATGTTTGTTTACCAGAGGGTAAGACAATCATGAATGAACTTGATTTTGGCGATGTCAAATTTTGAGAGTCTCTTTTGCACATCACGAGTGGCGAGCTCGGGATGCCAGGTGGCACAATGCAGCCAACTACTACGCCAAGGCTCTGATGATGTCCTGCACAGCGGCGACAGATCGGGATGGGTCAAAGTCAACACCTATGATTTTGAATTGTGAATGGGCTGCATGGGGGTATGTAAAATCATTTTCTGACCCACAGCATGTGATTGCATTCCGCAAGATAGCATAAAGACAATTGACTTTGCGGAAGCAACACATGGCGAACTAACTACCATCACTCTATCACTATATCACTATTATGTATCACTATATCCCCATTAGCATAAGCCCCGTTTCCATCCGTTTCCAACTGCGAAAGCGCTCCGTTGAGAGGCTGGAAACAATGCAGCTCTGGTCGATACCTACTACTTCCTGGAGGCCCTTGTGGTCACAAGAAGATGACCACAATCAGTAAAACAATGGCAATTTCATGGCTTCCTGCGGTTTGTGATTTCAAACTCCAATTGAGCAATGTCTGAAACTAGGATATCCTCTCCGGCCATAGCTTGGGGGGTGAACCCCTCACTTGACACAGCCATCAAATGATTGTGGATAGATCTTATTGACATCCCATATTTTCCCCATGAAATCCCCCACTATAGTTGGCTTAATCCGTATTGATTGTTGCTTCAATTCCCATGAAATCTAAGGTCAAATCCCCTTTTTGTTTTCGTGAACTCCCTACTTGGAGGATCATCCCGCTTACTAGTTGGTTAGTAACCATAGTTATACGACTAATACAGACTAGATATAAGATTGGGAACTGGCCAGTGACGTAGTTAGTTACATCATAGTGAAACCATTTATGGATGGAATACTAGCTTAATATCATGTAACATCTTGGTTACCATTTAGTATTACCATTTAGTAAGCATGTTAATCGCCATTTCGTGACTATACTAACGCCTATAGTTTACATAACAAAGTCATCCCCATCAATGATATTGACATATAGTTGTCTGGTTGGTGGTTTGGAACATTTTTTATTTTTCCATATATTGGGAATAATCATCCCAACTGACTTTCATATTTTTCAGATGGGTAGGTATACCAGTATACCACCAACCAGTTATTGTTACTATGTTCATATCAATATTTACCCTCCGGTAATTTGTTACATAGCTATTGAACATGGCCCATAGAAATAGTTGATTTACCTATTAAAAATGGTGGATCTTTCCATCGTTATGTATATAACAGTTTATCAGAGGCTAAACCTCCATTTTCCTAGGGGTTTTCCCAGTCGGTTCATCCCCATCTTCCCAGTCGTCTCCAGGACTACGACGCGCTGGAGCGAGTCATCCCTTCACTGCCTGAAGGTCGCTCTGGCAGTTTTTGAGGGACCACCACAGATGTTAATTTAATATCTTCAGTATTAAACATGTATTAAGCATCTGATTTAATAGATGTTAATTTAATATCTTCAGTATTAAACATGTATTAAACATGTATTAAGCATCTGATTTAATAGATGTTAATTTAATATATTCAGTATTAAACATGTATTAAACATGTATTAAGCATCTGATTTAATAGATGTTAATTTAATATCTTCAGTATTAAACATGTATTGAACATGTATTAAGCATCTATTTTCATAGATGTTAATTTATTATCCTCAGTATTAAACATGTATTAAACATTTATTAAACATGTATTAAACATGTATTAAGCATCTGATTTAATAGATGTTAATTTAATATCTTCAGTATTAAACATGTATTAAACATGTATTAAGCATCTGATTTAATAGATGTTAATTTAATATCTTCAGGATTAAACATGTATTAAACATGTATTAAGCATCTATTTTCATAGATGTTAATTTATTATCCTCAGTATTAAACATGTATTAAACATTTATTAAACATGTATTAAGCATCTGATTTAATAGATGTTAATTTAATATCTTCAGTATTAAACATGTATTAAACATGTATTAAGCATCTGATTTAATAGATGTTAATTTAATATCTTCAGTATTAAACATGTATTAAACATGTATTAAGCATCTGATTTAATAGATGTTAATTTAATATCTTCAGTAATAAACATGTATTAAACATGTATTAAGCATCTAATTTGATAGATGTTAATTTAATATCTTCAGTATTCACATGTATTAAACATGTATTAAGCATCTAATTTAATAGATGTTAATTTAATATCTTCAGTATTAACATGTATTAAACATGTATTAAGCATCTAATTTAATAGATGTTAATTTAATATCTTCAGGATTAAACATGTATTAAACATGTATTAAGCATCTATTTTCATAGATGTTAATTTATTATCCTCAGTATTAAACATGTATTAAACATGTATTAAACATCTGATTTAATAGATGTTAATTTAATATCTTCAGTATTAAACATGTATTAAACATGTAACATGTATTAAGCATCTGATTTAATAGATGTTAATTTAATATCTTCAGTATTAAACATGTATTAAACATGTATTAAGCATCTGATTTAATAGATGTTAATTTAATATCTTCAGTATAAACATGTATTCAACATGTATTAAGCATCTAATTTAACAGATGTTAATTTAATATCATCAGTATTTACATGTATTAAACATGTATTAAGCATCTAATTTAATAGAGATTAATTTATTATCTTCAGTATTAAACATGTAATAAACATGTATTCAACATGTATTAAGCATCTAATTTAACAGATGTTAATTTAATATCATCAGTATTTACATGTATTAAACATGTATTAAGCATCTAATTTAATAGAGATTAATTTATTATCTTCAGTATTAAACATGTAATAAACATGTATTCAACATGTATTAAGCATCTAATTTAACAGATGTTAATTTAATATCATCAGTATTTACATGTATTAAACATGTATTAAGCATCTAATTTAATAGAGATTAATTTATTATCTTCAGTATTAAACATGTAATAAACATGTATTAAACATGTATTAAGCATCTAATTTAATAGATGTTAATTTAATTTCTTCAGTATTAGCATGTATTAACCATCAAATTGTTGGGATAGTTTTCGTTTTTACAGCCTAATTATCGGAGACCCAGCTTCGAACAACTGTTTGTACACTTTGGGAATTTTCGGATCTGACAGTTCCTTGATGATATGTTTTTCTTGCAGCTACTTCTCGCTGCTCATAGCGATTTGGCAACATGTCGACTTGCTTCAGCATCTCCAACTGCAGGCAGCCCGCTCTTGACGGAGGTTGGCAACAAGTTCGCCTCTGTGGGGCTGTGTGAGCAGGCATGGAACCGAGAAACCAGAAGCGAGTAGAATCTGAGTAGAACAAGTCTTCAAAAATTTGAAGCATTCACCATCTGCATCTGCAAAAGTCTATAGAATTCCATAGATATTTCCCATCTAACTGTGGTTAGTTATAACTTATAACTACCATAAACCCTAGTGAAATTGTAGTTATGTTCACCAACTGAACGCTATCTTGGGGGCCCCACATTGTAGAATTCCATAGATATTTCCGGGAGGCGCCTCCCATTCGATGAACCTCCGGCATTTCGGAAGGCCGTTGCAGCCTTTCTGCGACATGGAGATGTGAAGACCGCGGTTGACACGTCAGGGTCCTCAGTCAGGGTCCTGCGGGGAAGAGGTGTGAAACCCTGGCCATAAACCTACCATGGGGATGGTAAACATATCCGCCACAAAAATAGATAAATATGATTTTAGGATATTTTGGGATGGTTATCATTGGGTTTACCACAGTGCTTTTGCTTTCCAAGAATTGGAGGAAGAGAAGAATCCCAGCAAGAAACCTCGATGTTTGATTTCCTGTAAAATATCTGTAGTTTTTCTTGTAGAATCATCTGTAGTTTCGACGCTAGATGAGCCCGTCAAGCACCGAAGTCCGATGACTTTCGAGTCCAAGGTGTGTCCTTCTGAATCAGTGGGAGCTGGCTGTGAATCTGGCGCAGCAGCACAACTTTCAACAGATCGAAGGTTGGCACCAAAATCCAGCGAGATTTGATGGGCCAGAGTTGGGAGCCGAACAACAATGTATCAACATGGGATATGAAATAATACTGTACATACATCTTATATATATATCATGGATATAGTCTTGAAAGATCCTGGAACTAGTTAAGTTACCAACATCAGCGCTTCCCCTGGGTCTTGCAGATCATCACCCACAGCTGCAGGCTTGCTGGCGAAGTATGCACAGCACCTGCTGGACAAGAATAAGAAGATTGAGGTGCTGGGCCCATGCATACCAATGCTAGTTGAGTGTTACCTTCTGGTAAACTAACATAACTATGGAAAATCACCATTTTCAATGGGTAAATCCACTATAATTAAATGACCATTTTCAATAGCTATTATTATAACAAATTACCAGAGGGTACTTAAGGGGCCCAAAAATGTTGGGAAACCCAAATTCAGTGGTTGAAAACCTCAGGTTTTTCAGTGTCACCAGTTTTTGGGCTTCTGGACACAGCTCAGGGCCGGTCACGGGCAGTTCAGCCATCGCTGTGTTGCTGCAGGCAGTTCAGCTGTACCGAAAAGCCAGTCGACACACGGAGGCATGGCTCAGTCTTGGCCGTGCATTTGGAGACTGTTTCACAGAGGGTTTTGAGGTTGTGAAGGGTCCAGGGGGCGAGTCATTTTCTTTGGAGTCATTGAGTCGGTCTTTTTTTTATTCATATTTTGTATTTTCTTCATATTTTCTCTGACTGTGGTGCATGATGCCTCGCAAAGCGTGTACAGGGTCATGTTTGGGCGATTTTGGGGCTCATGCCTGTTACCCCATGCTGCTGTCGGCCCAGAGTTCACTCTTTCATAGATGACAACAAGAAATCCACGGTCATGAGCAAACCAACCAGAAGCTCAAGAGGAGTGGCCCAGAAAACATTGGCTTTGGTGTTTCAGACGAAATATGCAGTAAGGAAGAAACACTCATTTGTTTAGTATCATGAAAGCAGCGCTGCAGCTACACATTCAACATTAACAAAATTGAGAATTGAAAGAGAAAGAAAGATAGAGAGAGAGAGAGAGTAGGCACTTAGACATAAATTGTTGAACGCTGAAAGCATGCCGATGCTCTTCACTGGTGACTTTCCTTCTGCCCCGACCACGTTGGACTTGCCACCAAACTGCAAAAAAGCATATAAAAAAGCAAGATCCATTGTGATGATCAATGGATTGGTTTAAGGGAAAATCTACAGGAAACAATAGATTTTCCCATTAAATATGGGGTTTTCCTGTACATTTTCCCTTAAACCAATCCATTGTGATGAACACAGATGACTTGTGGGACTTGTACTGGTGGGAAACACTCGCAATGCATGGCTTTTTCAACAACGGTTAGTGACCCACTCCGAGGTCACCTCCTAGTTTCGATCCTTTCCGGCACGGAACTTCCCCTGCGTCATCCCCCAGAGGCGCCTTGTTGGAATTTTCCTCAATTGTTGGGATAACTAAAATGAGATCATATTGAGATCATTAATATCTACAATTATACTAATGATCTATATGGGATTATATCGGTCATATCCCTTTCAACGCCAAAGAATCCGCCACCGGCCCAAGCTTCCAGGACTTCTGGAGAGCCTCAACGGTTTCCGGGGCTCGTTGATTCAGAGTCAAAAGGCCATCCTGTCGCAGCTGGACAGCGAGCTGGAGAAGGTGCGATCTCGGAATGATGAGAACAACATCGCCCTGTTGGTTGCATATGATATATTTTTATGCTATTATAAAATAGCGACTTATACTATTATACCCTCAGTTTGACACAGCTACTATGGAAAATTACTATGGAACATGGCATATTGATGCATATTGATAGATGATCTACCTAGTAAAGCGTGGTGATTTTCCATAGTCCATAGCTACGTTAGATTGCCAGAGGGTACTACCAGGTTTATTGGGATGGCTCAGATGCTCCGAAGGTTGTACCGAAGATGGAATTCCTCGAGACCATACTTGTCTTTCCTACGTTTTCATAAATCGCTGCTAGACCATGAAATTGGGTGGGATTTCCGGGGTTTCCAATCATACTTCATACGGGACATCGCGGACCATCTCCAAGACAGGATCCGCAGAAAAATCCTAAGAAAAACAACCTGTGTTCTGGAATATGCTAAAGGACCATGGCACTGACCTTGTGAGCACTTAGCAGGTCCTGCTGTACTTGCTTGGCATGCATTCAAAGCAGTCGAAGATTGAACATAGTTACTGTAGGTATCTGTAGGTTGCGTTTGGTCCTTCCCTATTGACAAGGGCCATCAAGGGCCTATTTCCTGAGTTCAAAGGAGATTCTGATCGTCAACCAATGGGCAGGTTCGGCAATTGGAACGAATTCCATCAACCAGGCGGGATTTCGGATGGAGATGTTGCTGAGATACGATTGGATTTTGGTGTGATCAAGTCAGTGCACGCAAGTAACTGCCTTTTATCTTCAATTCTTAGCTTAATACATCAATATCATCAATTGTGTTGTTTTCCATGTGTATTATGCAACTTGAAGGGATTTCTGAGGTTTGCATTTGATCATTTGCCTGTCACTGTTGTGGAAGCTTGTTAGCGGAGTCTCCTATCGGATGCCGAGGGACGTCGCCGAACCCAAGGGGGAGCCAGCGTCACTCTGCAGCTTGCCGAAGGAACGAAAGTTTCCCGTGGCATACCTTCTGGTAAACTAACATAACTATGGAAAATCACCATTTTCAATGGGTAAATCCACTATAAATGGCAATTTTCTATAGCTATGTTAAATTACCAGAGGGTACCATCATCGAACTTACACACAGATTTTGCCGTGTTTCCAAGGGATGCTTGAAACGTTGACGGCAGCCAGCAGTAAACTTCCAAGTGCTAAGCCATGGAGGCGTTTAACATTGTACAAAAACCCGCCCACACCGCTTTGGCGGTGAAGGCGTGCTTATTGGGGGGCAAAACAGCAACACTAAATGCTCAATGACATTTGTTAATATAGCAGTCGCTATATCAGCTTTAGCTGGGGGGGGGGGCCAAAAACGGTTTCGCACCGAGACCAGAATACGGTGGTGTTTTCGACATTTTTCGAGGATTTTTGGGTGTCTGAGCGCAAGAGGGTATTGAAATGGAATTTTGGGTCATTTTGGTAGCTTTCCGGCAATGGAAAAACGGCCAAAAATGAAAAAAACATTGTACATAGCAAGATTTTGCAGGGTTTTTGGATGCCAGAGCATTGAAAACACTGCAAAAACAAGTGTTTTGGACTGACGTTATAGCAAAAAACGTGTAAATTACCGTATGCTTGACTGGAAACATTACAAAAACACTGTCAAAAGCAATGTTTTGGAAGGATTTACTGCCTTTATGGCAAAAAACGTGTAAATTACCGTCTGTTTGACTGGAAACATTGGAAAAACACTGTCAAAAACAATGTTTTGGAAGGATTTCTTATATATATGTTGGAGTTGGCTACCGGCATTGGCACATGGAAAAATTGAAGAAAACACTGTAAATAGCGGTATTTTCAACGGTTGGGGAGATAAGGGAATTGGAAGCATTGTCGAACATGATGTTTTCGACCGGTTTTATGGCGACAAAAGTGTAAAGTACCGTGCTTTGAAGGAAACCATTGCAAAAACATGGAAACACATTCAAAGAACACGGGATTTGGGGGACTATCTAGGCGTCGTTGTCTAGCTATTTGAAATTCCGCAGCTTGGAGAGCCTCCAAGGGAGGAAAAAGTGAAAATTCCATAGCTTGGGAAGCTGTCACGGCGGGGAAAAGTGAAAATTCCCTAGCTTGGGAAGCCCCCACGGGGGGGAAAAGTGAAAATTCCCTAGCTTGGGGAGCCCCCACGGGGGGGAAAAGTGAAAATTCCCTAGCTTGGGGAGCCCCCACGGGGGGGAAAAGTGAAAATTCCCTAGCTTGGGGAGCCCCCACGGGGGGGAAAAGTGAAAATTCCCTAGCTTGGGGAGCCCCCACGGGGGGGGAAGTGAAAATTCTTAGCTTGGGGAGCCCCCACGGGGGAAAACCACCCTTAGCCCCTCTCACGGACCGAAATAAACCTGCGGTGTGGGCGGCCACCCCACGCGAAGCGGGGTGAATATACCAACGAATAAAATCTAGAGGAACCTTTTTTTTTAATATAGGAAGAGTCAAAACCAGGTTTTGTTGCCCATCTTCGCTCAAAACGCCAGAGCTTTGCAGGACGATGGAAACTATGGAAGCTTTCATTCGGCTCCCACACTACCAGGCTGTTTGGAAGAGACACCGCAAGGAGATGGGTCACATGGGTTCAGATCAGCGCGGGAGTCTGCGGTAGCCACCTTTTCCACCCTGAACAACGTTGGAGAGAAACGGAAAAGACACATGCCTTGGATCCATAAGAAGCTCAGCAGAATTGTTGGACATGCGCTTGATCCCCTCATATTGTGGAGGTAATTTTTGGTAAACGCCATGACAAATTCCATGGTGTTTCTGAGTGTTGCCTGTTGTTTCTCCGATTTCCTGCAATGCATTTTTTCTTTTTGGCAGATCTTCTGTTGGTGTATGCCAAATGGTTCCTCTGGGGTACTTTAAATCTAAAAAACAAAACACCATGGTAACAGCTCCTTTTTTGACCACGCATGTTTCGTGGCGGTTCTGTAGATTGTCCAACTTCCCATTTCTAGATGAGGTGAACCTTTTTTGGCGTGTCAAGTCATCCTGAGGACTGCAGTGGAGGAAGATACCTCAATCGCATCCACCTCGCGCAAGGAGAAGCAAGAGGCTGCGAAGGATGCTGAAGAGCGGTTTGGTGCATCTTCAGCGTGGCATGGCAGAGACGGACACCGAGTCTGTGACACTTTTTGGTTTGCAATATTTTTTACAATATATATATATACATACTCTTTTTTGTTGCTGTGACCAAGCTAAGGTTTGCCAATTTGAATGCCGAGCACGCTGCAAAATCTGTCCGTAGATCTGCATTCGACAACTTTACTCAGCCAGAAGACGTGCAACATGAGCGCTGTCTTGTGAAGGTTGGAAAGCACCCATGCTTCGAACGAGTTGCCATGGCAGCTACATTGCTAAATGCAATTTGGATCCCCATCGACATCGAGTTCAATGCTGAGCCAGCCTCAGATGCCTCGCAGGGCTTCTTCGTGGTCGAAAACATCTTCCTTCTCTTTTTCTCCGTGGAGCTCTTGTTGAGATTCATTGGATATTCCAGTGGCTGCAATGCCATCAGGGATCCGCCATTCATTTTTGATGCCGTGTTGGTTACTGGTTGGTGGTTTCAGTCATATGTTTGTTTCATAGAAATGGGAGGATGATTCATCAACCAAATATCCCCTGTCTGACTGTCCTATGATTCTTCAGGGGGTAGCTCAACCACAATGTGGGGCCCCCATAGTTAGCCAGGTAGCTTTACAACGATCTCAACCAGGTTGACTAGGGTCTAGGGTAGTTGTAGTAGTTATAACATGTTACAACATATAGTTAGATGGGATTATGATGGATTATGAACCAACATGAACCAACAAACATATCTGGTACATATCTGGTACATATCTGGTACCACATCGCAATGAGGTTAGCATGATGGTTCTGGAGACGTGGTTGATCCCCTTGGTAAGTCTCCTCTCCGGTGGCATGAACGGCGGCACCGACGTGGCGCGCAGCGCATCGATTCTGCGCATCGCGCGGGTCATGCGGGTGCTGCGGACTGCGCGGGTGGCGAAACTGGTGCGCTACATGCCCGAGCTGATCATTTTGCTGAAAGGGATGATGATTGCGTTTCGATCTGTTTCTCTGGTTTTAGACATGCTATATTTTAGCATGTTTCTTTTGATCGTTTCCCGCAGAGGACTTGCCGAATAGTTGACGTCTTGTGAATTTTTGGGGATGGGTAGGGACCACGAAAACCAGGTTTTCTTTACAATCGTGCTTCTGATTTTGGTCACCGTGATTTTCAGTGTTGCCATCACCGAAGTGAGCCGCGGAACAGAGCTGCCGGCCTTGTTGTTTTCCTCGATGGGATCTACCTTGCTGACGCTGCTTGTGCAGTGCATCATGCCTGACCAGGAAGAATCCTTCAAGCGAGCCGCAGCAGACAACTGGTTCGTAGGACGTGGACGTGGCATTTCTTGTGACCTCACTGCAGCAGTCAAGATATATTTGCTGCGGAGCCGACACCACTGATGGAGCCAAGCAATGACGCGGAAAGTTCTAACTAGTTCCAAGACCAGACATACTTAACATACCATAATCCGACTGTCTCGTCCTAAACATATTGAACATACTTCGCAAAAAAACGTGTAGAAACATTCCCCTGCCAGGACTTTTATGGTTGCTATTCATCCTCTTTGCTTCTTACATCGTGATGGGTCTCCTGGTTGGTGTCTTGGTGGAGACAGTGAGTACGGTGGCCACCCTGGAGCGTGAGCAACTGGACATCGACTTTGCACAGAAGGTCCTGTGGGAGATGATCGACAAAGGCGGTGCAGATGAAGACGGCGACAATCGCATCTCGGAGACGGAGTACGTGAACCTCCTATCAAGGCCAGTTGGAGTTGCGGTGAAGTTACAGCACATTTTTGAGGTTCAAAAAACATGCGAGAATATGTGCGAAAGAGATGTTGACCTTGGCAACAAACACTTTGCAGATTAATTAGATTTGTCTGGAGCAAACCAAGGAGACAGCTGATGATTACACATTTTTTAGGCCCGAAGTTTATCGGCAGGCCTGAGGCTGCCAAAGCATTGACCGTGCTGGGCGTGGACATGACGGCAGCGCTGGACTGCGCTGCATCTGTGATCATCTGTGTTTAATTTCTAGGGCCAGTTGTCAAGGGGGAGCTGTATATATAATTACTATTAATTACTGATTGGTGGTTTGGAACATTTTTTACTTTTCCATATATTGGGAATAATCATGCCAACTGACGAACTCCATCATTTTTCAGAGGGGTAGGGCTCAACCACCAACCAGTAGACAAGTCATCAGGGTAGCCAAAAAGGTGAACAACATTTGTGGTCCGGGACCAGTGTGATCCATAGCGATTTGGCGATGGCTGCACCAAAAAAAGCGGTCGGGCATTCAGTCAAAAATGTCAGGGATTGGGGATGGGTCTCTATTTACCCTCTGGTAAACATACAAAAAGCTATTGAAAATGACCATTTATAGTGGATTTTCCCATTAAAAATTGTGATTTTCCATAGCTATGTTAAATTACCAGAGGGTAAGATCTGCGAATTTGGTGATTTTAAGGTTATTCTGCGAGTCAACCATCCCTGTTTCTTGGCTACTCCAATAGGTCCATAGGTATCCCATGTTGTCATATTTGGTCAAAGTTGACCCCTCTGTCAATGGATTGGTTGAAGGGGACATCTACAGGAAACAAGGGATTGACCATCAAATATACGGGTTTCCTCTAATTTTCCCAACAAAAACCAAGCCAATCAATCAATGAATGGCCACTCACAATCATTCACAGGCACCATTCGCTAATTTCTGGGCTAAACAAAAGCATTCGCATTTTCTTGGGGATAGAACATAGAACATCATGTGTATATATATAGTGAATTACCATATATAAAACTATATACCCCATATAAACATCATATATATATATATACCCCATATATTGCCTCTGGCAGGACTATGGCATTCTGCTCTTTGAAGACGGTGAACCTCTCACCTTTGCAGAATTCATGGAGGGAATGCTCACCTTGAGAGGTTCCAACCACACCACCGTCAAGGACACCCCTTTTTTTTGAATGTGGTGGGGTGGGGAGGTGGTTGTATAGTATATATAAAGTTTGTTATAGTATCTAGTATATAGAGTACACAGTATATAAGTGTGTATAGTATTTACAGTATATAAAGTATATACACTGAGTATATACAATATGCATTTTATAAATAAATAAATATATAGTGAACACTATATATATATTAAATCGATTTTATGTAGTATTGACATGTATAATATGTAATATAACGCATATACAGTTTGAATACAGCAAATACGGCAAATATAGCATATTATTATAGTATATACTTAAAGTATACTATGTGTAGTATATATACTATACATGGTATATACTATATATAGTATATATAGTATATACAGTATATATAGTATATCTAGTATATCTAGTATATATAGTATATACAGTATATATTGTATATCTAGTATATCTAGTATATCTAGTATATATAGTATATATAGTATATATAGAATATATAGTATATATAGTATATAGAGTATATATAGTACATATAGTATATATAGTATATATAGTATATAAAGTATATATAGTATATAAAGTATATATAGTATATATAATATATATAGTATATATAGTATATAATACATATAATGTATATATAGTATATATAGTATATATAGTATATATAGTATATATAGTATATATAGTATATATATAGTATATATATATAGTATATATAGTGTATATATAGTATATATACTATATATAGTATAAATACTATATATAGTATATATATACACTATATATATACTATATATACTATATATAAAGTATATATAGTATATATAGTATAAA